CTCTTTCTAGATAAAAAATTAGCTACCTTTATCACCTTTGATTGCTATTTCCAAAATAATCAATTAATGCCATCACCATGATATTAGTTTATCTTTTCTCATATTTTTCAGTCATACAACAGCTGTTCTTCCTAGATAAAATTTTAGCTAGCTTTATCTACTTTGATCGCTACTTGTCATTATTGTCTTTCCTGAAGATCATCTTGTAATGAGTACATGTGGTATTTCAGGCATTGACTTGTTTAGAGATTGAAGTGCAGATACTAAAGAACACACAAAATTAATAAGTAGTCTTTGATGTCAGATGCAAATTGATGACACTGTAATATATACCTCAGGTCAGACAAAGTTCCGGCGAACAGTCGAGTATGAGTAGACGGATTATCGGCGGAAATCGTCGCTGTACAGCCAAGCGATGTCTGAAACTTGAGGCACAATGATAAGCCAAAAAACTGCATATTATCCCAGACAGTAAGAACACACAAAATTATTCAGCCTTGCATTAGAATCCAAAGGGTTCAGTGATGTGTAGTCTCTCTATCTCTCTGCACTCTCTGTTCCTCTCCTATTTCTCTTTTTTTCTCACCAAAACCAGATCAGTAAGCACTGGAACCCTGTCTCTCCCTCTCTGCTCTCTCTGTCTTTCTAGTAGCAGCGGCCAGCAGTAGCTCAATCAAGCCATGTATCTAAATTGCAGAAATCAACGCCTCTCTCTACTCAACTGATTTTAGTCAACTCAATGACTAAACCATGCTTTCATCCACTACCCTCAATCAGATGAAATATCAGATAATGCAGAGCACAAGATCTCTAAGCTCTGGGCTTCAGATCGACTCAATAACATGAAGAATGAGGATTTCTGCAGCTGAAGAACATGGCCAATGAGGACCAGATCGAGGGGAAGTAGGAAAAGGGGGGAGATGAATGGATTATACCTGATGGTAAGTCCTCATTCTTACTCGTCGGAGTGGCTGCACCACCCGTGGCCTGGTTGCTGTCATCCAACCGGCCGGCGGCGTTGTCGCCTTCCTCTTCTCCTTTCTCTGGACGAACAACAGCAGCAGGATGAAGAAGGAAATACGACGAGTCTGAATATTTAAGGACTCCGCGCCGTCGCGCCGGATCCGCCCCTCTCCCGCGCCCGTCCGCCGTCGCCACGCTCCGGCGAGCTCCTGCCTAGGTCGCCGCACCGCCCCTCCTTTCTTCCTTCTCTCCCTCACCTCCATGTTTCCTTTCTTCCCAGCGTCGGTGATGCCATGGATCCGCCCGGGAAACCGTGCTCCGGCCTTGTCTTCACCAGCGACCCACGCCTCGCCGCCCGCCCACGGATTCGCCTCCCCAGTCCCGGCCGCGCACGGATCCGGCCGCCGCCGCCGTTCTGCATAGAGTAGGCGCGCCGCCCCCAGTCGCGCGAGCAGGCGCGAGTAAACCAAGCATATGGACAGTGGGTTGAATAGACCAAACAACGGGGTTGTTTTTGTAAAAACGAATCGTTTTCCCAGACCACTTAAAGCAGGGACTGCGGGTTCAATATTAAGAAATGAAGGGGCTTTTCTGCAAAAACGCTAATGACGTACGGCAGAAATCCAATTTACTTTATTATTATATATAATATATAATATATAATATATAATATATAATATAATATATATATATACTAGCAAAAGGGCCCGTGCGTTGCAACGGGAGAAAAAAATTCATAATTTCAAATGGTCATGATCACATTTCGTTGCATCACCGAGATACAATATCTCTCTCAATTTCTCGAAATCATGAACATTTTGAAATTATGAACAGTTTGTTAAACTCATGCACATATTTGAAATCGCAAACAACATACTATTACAAATTTCTGAACATTTTCTACAATCAAGAACATTTTTTCAATTTATGAATATTTTTTGCTATTTACAAACATTTTTTAAAAATTGTGAACATTTTTAAGCAATTTTCCTGAACTGGCAAACATTCTATAATCGATGAAAATATTTAGAAATTGGGTGGAATAGTTATTGAATTTGACGAACTTTTTTTGATTTAGCGAACATTTTTGGAAATGCCCGTGCCTTGCAACGGAAAAAAACTATCAAGTTATACATGTGTGGTAGATATAAAAAAGTATGAATCAAATTCACAAAGTATATACAAATCATGTCATGATGCGATAAGACACTTTTAAAATGTAATTTCAAAAATGAACAATATGATGCTCATCAAGACTTGATTTTTTAAGGCGTCACAACAAAATATTTTGTGGCTGAGCAAACTGCATTGACGGACCCTGCCTGAGCTATACTGATAAATAAAGTGTCTCGTCTGGACTTAGCGTAGCGATGTTTACCATAACCACTATTGTGATATGAAAATAAGCATAACTGTGTATGGAAGCAAAATAGACATTTAGTCATTTTAATATAGCTTACAAAAACAAACCCTTAGAAAGTTATGTCAATTTTGTTGGGTTCAGCGTTGTACAAAACACGGAAACCCTTTTTTACCCAACGCGAAGGACTAAATAAAATCATAAAATGAGCTATATAGATCTCCTAATAAAACCTTTATGGAACCTACAATTAGTTTTGTTCATTATTTACGGATGTGTTTTAATTTTTGTGAACATTTTCTAAAAGCTGATGGACATGATTTTTAAATTCCTGAATATGCTTTGAATATTGGCTCATTTAAAAAAATCATGAACATTTTTTATTTCATGAAATCATTAGAAATCGTGATTTGTTTATAATTTGTGAGCAATTTTTAAGTCGTGAACATTTTTTGATTTTTAGAATATTTTTTAAATTCACAAACAGTTTACCATTTTCCTACTTTTTTCAGAACTCGCAATTGTTTGATATTTTGGAAATCCGAAATTAATTTTGAGACAAAAAACCAAAACAGAAATAAAAAAGTAAAAAGAAATAAAAAATAGGGGGCGCCATCAATCCGAAATTTATTTTTAGGGAAAAAACAAAATAGAAATAAAAAAAGATATAGAAAACAGGGGGCGCCACGACCCGCACATGGGCTGGCCCATTACTGCGCTTGGTAAAAAGAAAGAGAAAAAGCGTGAGAACCAGGGATCGAACCCTGGTCTCCTGTGTGGAGCATCGTTGCCTCAGCCATCGCGCTGCTCATGCATTGGAGCTATTATATCGTATCCACCTTTAATAACAGAACCCTGGAGCGATATTAGAAATTAAAAACGAATCGTTTTTGCCACTTACGGGTGGCATTGGTGGGTAATTATTGCCAACTTCGAGGGTTGTTTTTATGACGTACCACCAGAAGCGATGCGTGGTTTATTAGTAGGTAAAGATAAAGACTAGCAAAAGGGCCCGTGCGTTGCAACGGGTTAAACAAATCCTCGCTCGTCCTAGTCTATGATTCCACTTCTCTTGCTTGCCACCATTGTCGATGATGGTCATGTTATCCACCTATTCACGACGAATGTGATCAACCCCGAGGTGATGAGTTTGGTCATATTACACGACTGTATAGCTTCACATCAATGCCCAGAGGGGCCAAACACGGAACATAGTTTTCTGAGGGGGCAAAAGAATTTTCTGATTGTTTATTAACCCCCTCCTTAAAAAAATCTTCACATATTGCTAGTGCATTACACTGTAGCACACCGCTTTTACGATCGCCTCCCAAGTCCCCAAGTTGTAATTCCTCGGACCTATAATGATAGTAGGTGCCATTTTTGTATCAATCTTTTATTTTAAAGAAAAACATAATAAAAACTTTTAAAAGAGTAGACCTTAAAATAAAATTAGAGAGAAAATGGTCGGACCTAAAAATCACTACAGAACCAACGGGAATATACTAAACTGCATTCGACATACTACCACAGAATATTTCATCATTATGCATAAACTTCGGGATAATAAATTTGTCAAAATGGAAAGGGGACCAGGAAACAAAGTGTAAAAATCATCCCAGCTTTTGGTACCAAAATGAGTGGCACATATTATTACTGAAATTTCTGTGCAGATCAAAAAGAGCTATCCGCTTTAGTACCAACTTCCACTTTGCACCATTTTTCAGTGTGTAATGTAATGTAATCATGTGTTCTGAGGAATAATTTCAAAATTAGAAATAGTTAGCACGGACCCGAAATCGTCATAATAGGTACATCTGATCGTGATTTGTGTTCCAGCTAAACAAAACCAGCCCTTAGCTAGAAAATCTAGAAACACGAACCAGCGTTTGACAGTCAGACTCAAACAAAACATTCATTATACCCCATTCTGCTACTGCCTGTGTTGCCGATGTGCATTCATTTCGTTAACTGAAGAGCAATGAGTATGACAGGGCGCCGGAAGGAATCATCAAAAAAGACTTACAATCCAGATGTTGTCCACACCATAGAGTACAACAGCAGCCAACTTGGATCTGAAGGGGTTCCACACCCAGTACTCAACCTTGGATCCGTCCTCGTTCTGTACAATAACAAAACAACAATAAACATCAGTCTACTGCATCTGTAGAACAGTAATGAACATCATTTCAGAACAGCACCAATAAGTGTATCTCTCAGCCAGTAATTGCATCGTTTACATATAGGCATAAAAAAAGTGCATCTTTCAAACAACAATGAACATCATTCACAAGCTCTAGAAGCAGAACAGAGCATAAAAATCCATCAGCAGAATGTGAAGCCAGTGAATATATCTAAAAACTACTGACATAAGCGTATCATTTGCTCTTGTAGGAACTAAAAATAGTCGAATCTAAGCTGATAACCCTGCTGAATCAAAGCTGGTTTACCATGTGCTATCGAATTTCAATTCTGTAGCAGTGGAATTCTGGACAGTGTTTCAGGAATCTGTACAATAATGTCAAAGGGAAGGTAATTTAAGATGGCATCCAATTAGTTCAGTAGTGCTTAAAAAATCTAATTAGTTTAGGAAGACAACAAAACTTTAATAATAAGTACATGTATAGTTCAACATTAAGAGATGAGCAAGTGGAAAGAAACTGACACTAAGAATGGAATATTAACAGGAACAAAACTCCGACTTAACTTGTTCAATTTTTTTTACAGTTCCATGAATGCAGAACCAGGGCACATTGTTCAAACAGTTTTGGTTAGAACATTTTTTCAGACAGTCAATAATTTCAGCTTGTAAATCCCCAAAATTTCTCGAAAAAAAACCATAATAAATAAACATGAACATGCTCTTATTTGTTGTTCCAACATCAAGAAATAAAGATTGGGCGCGTATTGGCTGCATCTCTGTCGGGCATCGTGGCCTCGTATTGGATATCTTTGCTTCTATATTTTCAATCTGCTGGGTGTCCAAGCGCATACAGGATGTCATTACTCTGCGTATTTGAGCATCTAAAAAAATAAGTCAATGGTGCATCATGTTAAAGGAGAAGAACAATTATACTATCGAAGAACATCAGCACATAATTCAACCTGATCTCAACTCCACATGTCCTGGACACCAAATCCATTTTAAGTACACATAATTAAAAGCTGCTAATAGTTCTGTAGTTCTGCTAAAAAGCAAGTTGGAAACTATCATTAGCAAAATATTTGAGCACCTACTCAATGTTTATATTCAAAACTGAAGTATCCAGCTTGTTAGACAAAAAATATGCAAGCAACATGATGAACAACTCACCATAACTTAATATTTGTAGATACACTGGACTGTACAACATGTTCACTTCTGAAAACAAATTACACCAGCCTGAATGCCTGATACACCAAAGAAAAGCCTGAAAAAAAATGAAGTTCAACTCCTCATAAGCATAACATCAAACATGGTGTGGGCGTAATATCAAGAACAGAGGCACACATTAATTTGGGAAGAATGCAGTTGTCAATCCATGAGAGGGTGAGAGACAAAGAGAAAGAGATAGATCCTGAAGGAGAGGAGCAGCAACATCAGCCCGTGACCACCAGGACAGGGAGAGAGATGAGAGGTAGAGCGGAGCTCCTTGTCTACTGTAACTGCAAGTGCTACTTATTACACGGCAGCAGTAGAATCTTGCATCCTCTGTATAAACAAAAAGCAAATCTTATACCTTGAGGAGTTGGGGTGGTGGAGGCTTGAGCGTGGTGTGCTGCCGGACTGAAGGAGCCGCCGAGGTGGGGAGCGGACCAGCCAGATTGGATGAAATGACTGCCGGAGGCAGAGCGAGGTGGCGTTGAGCTCAACCAGCGAGGGGATGGGCGCATCGAGCAGCAGATGGCGGCGTCGAGCAGGGCGTTGACCTTAACCGCCGTCGTCCTAGTACGGTACTCCACAACGGAAGGGCGCCACCGTGTCAGCCCGCATCGCTCGTCGTCGACCAGGGAAGGGCGTCCAGCAGAGGTGGCCGTCCTGCTTCCCCAACGACCGGGAGAGGAAGGAGGCTAGGGGAGGTGCGCCATCCAGCGATTCGGCGTGCCTTGCTCTGCCTCTCTCTCCGTCCAGCGTCAGCCACGCCGCCGCCGCCGGTTGCCCCGTCCTCGACCAGATCTGGACCCCACTCACCTCACCCGAATCGACGCGCCCAGCCTCCTGCGCCGTACAAATGCGCCACCACATGCCGGAGGACACTGCGCCCGGCCTACCTTGCCCTCGACGCCGGTGTTGACCGCTCCTCTGCCTCGCTCGCCTACACCGCTGCCGCAACCGCAGACGACCTGCTGCTACTCGTTGCGGAAGAACAGAGGCCGCAGCAGAACTCGGCGCATGGGCGACGGGGCAACGCCGGAAGCAGAAGAACGCCGCGACGACGAGGGCGGCGCTGGCGTGATGCAGACGAAGCAGACGCGAAGGCCGACAGCAGGGGCACGCCTCCGGGCGATGGAGGCCGAGAACAGGCGCTGGCGGCCGGGGGCAGGGGACTTGACGCGGCCGGCGTACCATCCTCCATGAACGCCCACGGCGTCCGCCTTCTCCTCCGCCTCGGCTGTAGCCGTGCAGCAAGCCCACGGCGTCCGCCTTCTCCTCCGCCTCGTCTGTAGCCGCACCCATGGCGTCCGCCTTCTCCTCCGCCTTGTCTGTAGCCGCACCCATGGCGTCCGCCTTCTCCTCCGCCGCGGCTAGCCGTCCGACGAAGGCGCCGCCCTCACCTGCTCGTGCTCCGCCATCGCTGCCGTCGCTGGAAAGGGAGGAGTTTTGGATAAGATGAATCAGGGACCGCGGACTGAATATCAAACAAACGTAGGGTCTTTTTTGTAAAACCGAAGCGTTTTTCCAGATTCACTAAAGAAAGGACTGCGGGTTCTATTTTCGAAAAGCAAAGGGACTTTTTTATAAAAATGGCGACGACGTACGACCAGAAGCACTACGTGGTTTATTAGTAGGTAAAGACTAGGAAAAGGGCCCGTGCGTTGCAACGGGAGAAACAAATCATGGGATAACTTCAAAATCAGAAATAGCTAGCACGGAGCCGAAATCATCATTTTAGGTACATCTGATCATGATTTGAGTTCCGGCTAAACAAAAGCAACCCTTAGCTAGAAAATCTATAAACAAAGTTATTCTAAAGCTTTTAACCCGGAATTAAATTTATCTTTGGCCATGGTGAAGAATATATTTTGGTAACCTCGTATCAAGAGACAATATCCTTTTGGAATAGATCTTTTGAACCAGTGATTGGTTTGAACTATAAAAGAAACATTGACTTCCTCTGAATTTTGAAGTGAAAAGATATTGTGTCAGCTACACCTAGCTAGCTAGTGCCTTGCTGCACCAGTAGCACTCGCCACAACTTACTCCGTTGCGAGCCGCTGATGCAGCCTGTTGATAACTTGGTATACTCTTCAGCAGCCACATCAAAACAATATGTCACTCTTCAGATGAAGCCAGAGATGTTTGTTCAGGCTTCTAATGCAAATGGAGCAAGGGAGCCTTTCCCTGTTGATCTAAAAAAATAATATATCCTTAGAAATTTGAAAAACAATTTACCACTCGAACAATTTTGCAAGTAGCAAAATAATATTGAAAGTACTCGAAAAGTACATCTTCTATGCCATGTTGAAAGACCAATCTCATGATTCACAAAAGGTATTTCCTAACAAATGAAGAGGCATCTCTGAAGGTTGCTGAAAATGAAATTGGCAGGAAAAAATGGCACTCTAACTCCATGCTTTTTCCTCGAAGTGAGGCCAGTCTGCACCTTAGCAACACGAATTTAGACCTGCTAGTATTGTTGTAGACATGTACACAGCTGAACCACTGTGCAGTGTTTCAGGAATGTGTACAATAGTGTCAAAGGGAAGGTAATTTAAGATGGCATCTGATGCGGAGCATCCCACGATTATCCCCATGGACATACAACCGTCTCATCAAGAGCCAAGAGGACCCATGACACGAGCTAGAGCTAGAGCTCTCGAGAACGAGGTGACCTCCTTCCTTATTGATATCGCATATGATCCACTCGAGACATGGCTACTACCTAAGTCCGATATGCTATGCATGATTAGGTGTCAAGGGGAACCTCCCGAGGATGCACGTGAAGGCGGACAAGCGGTCAAGTCCATGGATGAAGAGAACCAACGGAAACGAGCAAAATCACCTTCCAGGCCCCGGACATCCGGCCATGACCCCGGACATCCGGCCCCTGGAGCTTCTACCTCAACATGCTCCAAACTGCCCAAGTCCCCAGGGCTCGGACATCCGGCGTCCAAGCCCGGACATCCGGCCCCCAGCCCGGATATCCGGCCAGATGCCCGGAAATCCGGCGCCCCTCTCCCGATTCGGCTGAAACGGTCGACCCAGCCCGGACATCCGGGCTGATAGCCCGGACATCCGGCGCCTCGCGAAGGCCCGAACATCCGGCCCGACGCCCGGACGTCCGGCCTCCCCTGCCTGCGTGCAGTGCTTCCAGGACTTGTCCCTTGTACCCCTTCGCCCCGAGACTATATATACTTCATCCCCTTCCTCTTTCTGGGGTTAGCTTAGGTTTAGCTCATGTTTGTGTGAGAGCCTTGCTCATCCACTTAGTTACTTCTCCTCGGAGCTCAGGACCTCTTCGGAGAAGATCCCCCAAGCGGATTCAAGACCCCCTTCTAGGGTGGACCCCATCAAGACCTCCTCTCGGAGAAGAACGGCTACTCGTGTATCCTTACCTTTGTTGATTGTGGATCATATGTACCTCTTTGTGTTCGGTGATCTAGCACTTGTGTGATTAATTCCTTGTTGGTTGAGCGATCTCTCTCTCGTTTCCTCCGTGTTTCCCTTTGTTCTTCCGCGTGTTCTTCGTGATTCCCCGTAGGATCCGCTCCAACGTGAAAGATCGTCCACGTAGGGTTCCGCCCTACATCATCTATGGTATCATGAGCCACGTTGATCACGTTACTGGAGCCCCTACCCCTCTTTTTCTAGCTTGATTTTGTTGTTTTTTTCCTAATTCCGAAAATTCCCCACAAAAATAGCCCCAAATTTTTTTTGTGATTTGTTAGTGTGATGAAGTTTTGTTGGATTTGATCCGTGGATTTCGTGTGTTGCAGGTAGATCTAGCATTCCCCCATCTTTTCCACAATTTCCATCCACAAAATCGCCCAAATTTTGACCGGTTTTGACCTCTCCCCCGTGGTGTTCTTCGAGCCCGGACTTCCGGCCCGAACAGCCCGGACATCCGGCATCCCGAACATCCGGCCCGATCAGCCCGGACATCCGGTGCCCCGGACATCCGGCTTCCAGCCCGGATTTCCGGCTCATGGCAGCATCAAACCCTTTCCACCACCCCGTTCACCGCCTAACTTTCGCAAAATTTTGTCCCGTACCCACATACACTTCCATACACCTCCGCCACTTCCGCATAACACCACCATAGCCTTTCCCACTACCAATCCCGATAATGTTGCCAAATTGCCTTGAGAATTTGAGTTGGGGTTTTCCGTATCCTTTTGTGTTTCGGCTATCTAGGTACGGTTCAACATCAACATCACCACCGCTCATCTTCGCCAAGGACGGTAACATCGTCGACACCTTTGTCATTACTCGCAATTGCATTGATAACCATCATAGCCCATCTTTTGCGTCGCTTACCCATCGAGACTAGCCATTGAGTATTGCCGGCAACGTGACTTGTGCACATTAGTGATCATACTCCATAGCATACATAACATACCAAAGTGGTGCATATCTTAGCATCAACTTGTGTGTCACAAAGTTGTCATCGCATACACAATTGCTATCTTGGTTCGTGAAGTTTTGCATGAGAAAAGAGCTCAAAAGAGAAAGAGCCAATCAAGCTTTTAAGCAAAGAGAGAAAGATAAGCAAAGAGCTTATGAGCAAGAACCATAGCATCATACAACATTAAGATTGTCATACTTGATCATCTTGGATCAACACATCGAAACACCATACATATAGCATACTTGGGATAGAAGTCGTTGCATTTTTGCTTAGTAGGTTGTGCACAAGTTTGTATCCGCCTATTGTGCAATCGTGCTAGCGTCTCTCTAGTGTTGTGCAACAAGAGCATCTTGGTGAATCCCACATTTTGGCTC